AAAAAGTTTTTGCGAAATGGTTGTCATCAGTGATGGCAATTTTATATAAAACCCAGTAAAGAAAGTCCTGGGCCGACTTTATTATACCCTACCCTAATTTAGTAGAGCTCCACATAACAATTAAAAGTTTTTATGGGAGAATTCAATCATACACGCTATGATTATAATTATAATTTAAAATTCAAAGGACTAAATATGCCGAAGCATTTGTATCTTTTAAATTCGGACTTGTATTGCCCATTTGGGGCACAATTAATTTGAAATCGGATAAAGATATATATGGGAGCTATATCCAAATTGGTATCGATCTCCATAAAATTTGGCAAAGCTATTTCTGAGCTGTATTTGATATGTTTCCCTGAATATCGTTGTTACGGACAAACATGCATAAATCAACTCAGAAAGTGATTCTATGGAGATCCTCAAAAGTAACTATGAGTCTATCTTGCTTCCTTCTCCATGTTACAAACAAATGCACAAAGACATAATACCCTTACCACTATGTGATGTAGGGTATAAATACTCGAGGAGCTTGAGATTCGAATGAAATGGATAAAATCCAGTTTAATTTGATAAATTGGATATTTTACAAAAGTTTCAAGGGATATTTGAATGGCTATACAGGGTATATATCATTTGATACGGCCAAAACGTGCCTCATCGAAATAACACTTTTAGACCCTATATCTCTTTGGACCAAATACATTTCAGGACATTTGGTACCTCCCCTTAAAACGTCAATTAAAAAAAAAAAAAAAAAAAAACATATATTTTACTGCTCAGAAAAAGAAAGGATTATTCGATTTGGCTCCGGCTTTGCAAATAATAATATTTGCATCATGGCTAGGTCAGGTGAGAATATGGACAATATCGGTCCACTCCATCAAGTACCTCCCCGCACCAAAGGATCAACATTTTGAATAATCACAACTCTTATAAAATGTGATGTAAGAGTCCGATTGTCTTCAAACTACATATATCATATTTTTATCAACCCAAGGTCTGGTGTGAAAATGGAATATATCGGTCCACTCCTTTTGGTACATCCCCCTACAAAGTGTCAAAATTTTGAATGTCCGAAATTAAACTCCGATTCCATTCAGACTTGGCACATCTCAATATTCCTATCAATACAATATTTGTTATAAATATGGTTAAGATCGGATCAGTCCTTCTGGGTCACAATTTTTAATACTTTTATCTGCCATAACTTCTGAAACAAGTCAGCGACGTATCCGTGATATATAACCGTATCCGTGACAGATAATGTTATAAAAATTTTGAGAATACTTTCGAATTTTTGAAAATTATTTGAAATATCTTCTATAAAATATTTTTTTTCAAATTTGAAAATTTTTTATATATGTATCCAACCCTAAAAAAATGTTTATTCCCAATCTCGCATATTCTCCACCCCTTTTGACAAAATAAGTAAGTCAAAATCTCACAAACTTCCCGCTAACAATGTTAGCATTTCAACCAGCAACTTTTTGAAACATTAAGCAGACTAAGAAAACTTCTTCCGTTGCATTTTTCGTTTTTTTTTTATTCGGGGGAATTTTAATGTCAGTGTCAGTAACATTGAGGGAGAAGAGCCACCACCAACAACAACAACAACAAACATCAACAGCAACAATGTGAACAACAGCAATAACAAAAGTTTTGAATTTTTACTGCAGTGTCTTATGAAATTTTAATTTGAAAACTTCGCTAAGATGAACGGCAAACGTTAACACGTGTCAAATGTAGCATACAAGTCGAGTACAAGTTACAACAACAACAATAATAACAACAACGTTATGGTATTATAAAACATATCAACAACTTTTAGAAGAAGAAGAGAGAGAAAAATGCAAAAGTGGGTGGCGAAGAAACTCAAACTGGAATCTAATCATTTTCGAAACAGAGTAACAACAGCAACTTTTCGTGGGAGAAAACAACAACAAATTCGGCAAAAAAAATATAATCCGGACAGCTATTCCGCAAAAGAGGCTACTCACCAGTAGTGGCTTCTAAACCTTTTTCTGTGGTAATTCGTATCATTTTTTATTTAATTCGTAATATTTCATTTGTAATTCGAAAATTCAATTTGTAATTCAGAATTCCATTTGAAATTCGAGAATTCCATTTGTAATTCGAATTATTTCAGTTGTTATTCGAGTATTCCGAGAATTCAAATTGTAATTCAATTTTTTCCATTTATATTTCGAATTATACCAATTGTAGTTCGAATTATTCCATTTGAAATTACATTCGAATTACAATTAGAAAAAATCGAATTACGAATGGAATACTTTAAATGACAATTGGAATACTTTGAATTACAATTGGAAAAATTCTAATTGCAAATGGAATAATTCGAATTATAATTGAAATAATTCGAATTACAAATGAAATAATTCGAATTAAAATCGGAATTTTGGAATTACAAATGGAATAATTTGAATTACAATTCGAATGGTTCGGATTACAATTCGAATGATTCGAATTACCGATAGAATTTTCAAATTACAATTAAAATATTTCGAATTACATCTGAAAACGGTGTAGAGGGCAGCCGCTCTATACTGCCGTCCCACGAGACCAGCTACTCTTTTTACTCTCAGCCTCTGGAGGCCAGCAACTCTATGGACACACAATTGTACATCTAATCGAAGAGAGAAAATCCCATATCGTCATCGGACTCTTCGGGTTCTTCTTCCTCTTGGCATCTGCAGTGGGGACAGCACCACCGGTCTCGGTGGTCATCTACACCAAAGTAGATGGCTCTCAGGTAAGATTCCCTGCAGTGACGGCTTCTACTGTCAGCTACTCCACACTACTGGTCTCTGAGGTCTGCTACTCTCAAGTAGCACTCTGAGGTCAATTACTCCACAGTACTGTGCTCTGGCTCCAGTAGCTCCAGCAACTCAACTGTACAGTGGAGGCCTCGACCATGAGACCAGCTACTCTAAAAAATAAAGCCCTCTAATGCCAGCCACTTTATAATAGAGCCATGTGGGGCCAACTTCTCTACAGTGAGGCTAACTACTCAATCGTAGCGCTCCCTGAGGGTACCTCAGAGGGTGGCACCCTCTAATGGACATCAGGTGACGGCCTCTAAGGTCAGCTACTCTACAATAGCGGCCGCTGAGGCCAGTTACTCTATAGCAGCGCCATCTGAAGTCAGATACTTTACAATGAGAGGGCGCTACATTACCGGAGCCCCCTTTCAGTCCTGCAACTGAACTCTTAAGTGGCGGATTCGCCACCTACTCTAAAAATAGCAACCTCTAATGTCAGCCACTTTGGAGTGGAGCCACTTTGAAGTGAGGCCATCTTCTCTACAGTGGCGTCAACTACTCCATCGAAACGCTCTCTAAGGCCAGCTACTTTATTCTATAGTAGAATCCTCCGACAATAACTCTACGGTAGCACCCTCTGAGGACAAAAAGTGACGGCTTCTTATGTTAGCTATTCTGCAATAGTGACCTCTGAGGCCTGAGACCCTTGAGAAAATGACTCCGAGGTCATCTTCTCGACGGTAAAGACTCCTGATGTCAGTGGCTGCAATGGAGACTTCTGTTGCCAGCGACTGTAAAGCCATAACCTCTAAGGCCAGCGACGTTACTATAGAAGCATGGAGGTCCAACATATTTGCAACAGGGACCTTAAAGGCCAAATACTTTACAGTGGCAAAGTCTGAGGCCAATTACTCCACAGTGATGGCCTCTAAGGTCATCTATTAGTATCACCATTTGAGGCCAGATGACTCTGAGACAATCCACTCTACTCAAAAGTAGTGGACTCTGAAGCAAACTACTCTACAAAAGTGATCTCCGAAGCCAGTGGTGAACTCTGAGATCACCTACTATACATCACAGATTTCTGAGACAGCTACTAATTTGTTTTTTTTTTTTCAAAAATGCAACTTTTCTGTAGTGGAGGCCTGTAAGTCTAGCTTTTCAAAAATGCACCGTTAAAGATTAGTATTCTACAGCAGGATAACTGAGGATAACAGTCGTGTCACCTGAGGCCAACTACTCTATCGGAGCATCTTTCTGAAGCCAACGGATCTATAATAGCGACCTCTGAGGTCATTTACTCTACAGTGATGGCCTCCAAGCCCAGCTACAGTAGCACCTTTGGGGCCAGTTAGTTTTCTGTAGCGTCCTCTGACGGTAGCTAATTTACAGTAGCGCCCATGGTTGGTATTTGATTCACAGGATCACAATTTGGGGCCAGCTGGAGTAGCGACCCGTGACGCTAGCCTCTCTAGAGTAGAAGACGCTGAGAAAATCTACTCTACTCAAAACTAATGGACTCTGAAGCAATCTACACTGCAAAAGTGATCTCCGAAGCCAGCTACAGTGGCGAACTCAGAACATACACTACAACAGACATTTCTGCAACAGCTTCTCCACAGTAGGGGTCTTTTACCCCAGCTATTTTACGGTCGAGTCCTCTGAGGCTTCTTTACAGCAGTGTCCTCTGGAAGCCAGCTACTTTACAAAAAGGGTTCATAAACTTAGACGAATCTACACTAGAGTCCTCTGATACCTGATGCTTTATTCTAGGGGACACTGAGGCCAGTTATTCTGCAAAAGATGCCTCTTAAGCCAGCTCTACTTCACTGGATGCATTTGAGCTCAGCTATTACGCACTAGAGGCATCTGAGCCAGCTACACTACACCAGTTGCTCCTGAGCCCTTCTACTTCCCAGGACAGGCCACTGAGTCCGTCTACTCTGCAGTAAAGGTCACTACTCTATAGCAGAGGCCTCTAAGTCCAGCTACTCTGCCGTAGAGGGCTTCTTTTTCAGGTACTCTACAGTAGTAGTCTCTGATACCACCTTTCTACAGTACTCGTCCTTAAAAACGAATTCCCCTTTTTCAATATAATTGTTCTCATTAATTTGTTACTGATATCCATTGTTCTTCGCATGACCATTTTCGATATCCTTTTTCTTACACACCACGTTAATCCATTTCATCCTACATTAAATCGTTTTCAATACTTACCCAACATTTTGTTGCGATTAACATCAATGCGTGCCACACCAAAGGCTGGATCTGTGTCGGCGGTGTAATTGTCAATTGTGAATTCCCAATAGTGGATGCCACGTGAGAAACCAACGGAACCTAAGGCGACACGATGTTCCCAGCCCTCCACAGAGACGGTGGCATTATTATTGCTGAAGATTAGACCAGAACCGGGACCACCACTTAAGACAGGATCGAAGGTAAACCAGGCAACTGTAAGAAAGAATGGAAAAAAGGACAATGTTAGAAATGATGCAAAAAAAGGAATTTTAAAACAATCAACATTGTTTATGAATGCATATAAATCGTTGGGGCAAAAGAGAGAGAGGGAGAGAGAAAAGGAGAACAGAAAAGCCACAAGTTGTATGGACACAATAAGCTTTGTTGGCCCAACCATCCATCCAACCAGCCAATGAACCAGTACAGCAGTCAATAACCAGGAAATTCAATTTGATTGCATTTCCTTGGCACTGTGGCAAACAATTGTTAATGTATGGGTGTGTGTGTAACAGTGTGTAAAAGTCCGTCTTGGAAAAATGTAAAAGATTGCCGTTTTTCCTCCGGTTTCCGTTCTGTCAGCCAATATTGGCAATGTTTGTTTTTTGCGTTTTCTTGTTGTAAAGCAAATAGTTAAGGCACTTAGGATAGCCGGTGTAAATGTCTTGTAGCAGCCGTTGTTCTCTCAGGCGTTGTTTTGTCTACACCACAATACTTAGTTGTGGTTCGGATGTTGTTTTTGTTACAGCAGCACATCTAAAGGATGCACTCCAAGAGAGTAGACTTGACTTAACATTGTTAGATTGGTCTTCATGGGGTATTTTTTTCTTCATTTGCTTCCATAATTTTTTTGCCATTTTCTTTGTTAGCCACAATCCAATCGAGTTGTTATAAATGGTATTGCTGTGGTTAGTATTCTTTTTTTTGTTCTGTTTGCGTTTTGCAAATAATAATTTTACAACAGACTATTTAAATTGTTATTGGAGATTTGTTATTAGCCACTAGATTGTGGTAAATGTTGTAAAATTGATGTTCACGTCAAAAGGCAAAAAAAAATATTTTTTTTTAAACCCACCATCACGGCTTCATGCCACATGGCCAACAGCTACAGAATAACTTTTTTGGGGGGTATCAAAAATAGGCGAGATATAACTAAACAGAGACAACTACATAAAATAGAAGGACTCAAAGGACTAAAATCTACAAGATAATCTCTAAAAGACAGCTCTTAAATATAACTCAATTCATAGAGAGGAACCTGGTAGTCAAACCTCTTAGGAGAACTTTTTTCGAGGGTATCAAAAATAGGTGAGATAAATTCAGAGGATGGTAATCTACAAGAGAATGTCTAAAAGACAACTCATAAATATGACTTAATTCATACAGAGGAACCTGGTAGTCAAACTTGTTCAGAGGTCTCAAAAGAAGTAAAGCTGTCCTAGAGAAGCTGCCTGTGCTGAGAGCCAACAGCTATACAAGACCTTAGGTCAAAAATATAGAATAGTTATAATCCCCCTTGGATTTTTATACATATATTTTATAAAATAGGACTAAGAGGTCCTTACTCTGCAATATAATGTCTAAAAGACAGCTACTATAATGTGACCAGCTTCATAGGTCATGACTATATAGACTGGCAAGCTTGCCTAGAGATCGCTACAGAATTGCAGCTGTCCTTAGAGGCACTGCCATGGAGAAGCTACCTATATCAGCTGGCAAAAGATGTCGCTACCGTAAAGCACCTGGGCTCAGAGGCTATTTCTGTCAAAAACTAACTTCAGAGTAGCTATTCTTATAGGTGCTTGTCCAAGGGTATCTAGAATATAACGAGCCTGCCCTCAGGGCCCCATTTTATAGAGCAGATCGATAGGCCACTATATTAAAGTAGGTAAGGTAAATAGATTACCATGGAGGATATTTTGTCGAGTAGCTGATCGATAAGGCCTGCTGTAACTAATCTAAAGAAGCTGGAGGTGATGACCGGCAATATACAATAAAAACAACAGAGGTCACAGCTTCTAATAACCGTCCTCAGAGGCCACGCCTCTAGAGAAGTTGTCTTCCAGGGGTCGCTAATACAGAATGACGATAGATGGCGCTACCAAAGAGTAGCTGGCTTTAGAGGGCGCTATTGTAGAATTGCCGGGCTCTGATGTTTCCACGGCATTGTGGATGGGAAAAGACATCTTTGCTGTAGAGTAGATGGACCCAGAGGCCACTACAGTGGAGCAGATGACCTCAGAGGCCTCTACTGTAGAGAACATGGCCCCAATAACCACTTCTGTGGAGTAAATGGCCTCCAAAGGCTACTGCTGGCTTTTGGGTCCCCTAATGAAGAATAACTGGTACCAGATAGCGCTACCATAGAGTAGCTGACCTTAGAGGGCGCTACTGTAGAATAGTTGGTCTCTGAGGTTTCTATTGTGAAGCAAATGTCCCCTGAGGCCACTGCTGTGAAGCATATAAGTTCAGAGACCTCTACTGTAGTGTAGATGGCCACCGAGGTCCCTACTGTGGAGAACATGGCCCCAAAAACCACTTCTGTAGAGTAATGGGCCTCATAAGGCTACTGCTGGCTTTTGGATCCTCTAGTGAAGAATAACTGGTACAAGATAGCGCTACCATAGAGTAGCTGTTCTTAGAGGTCACTACAGAAGAGTAGTTGGTCTCAGAGGTCTCTTCTTTACAATAGCCGGTGTCGGAGTTTTCCACTGTATTGTGGTTGGACACCAAGGACTCTACTGTAGAGTAGTTGAACCCAGAGTTCACTGGTGGGGAGATGACTTGAGATGAGGTCTCCACTGTAGAGAACATGGCCCGAAAAACCACTTTTGTAGAGTAACGGGCCTCCAAAGGCTACTGCTGGCTCTGGGATCCACTAGTGAAGTGAATAACTGGTACCAGATAGCGCTACTATAGAGTAACTGACCTTGGAGGGCGCTACTGTAGTATAGTTGGTCTCTGAGGTTTCTACTTTAGAATAGCCGTTCTCGGAGGTTTCTACTGTATTGTGGTTGGACACCAAGGACTGTACTGTAGAGCAGATGGACCCATAGTCCACTGCTGAGGAGATGACTTCAGAGGCCTCTGCTCTAGTGTGGATGGTCACCGAGGTCTCTACTGTAGATAACGTGGCCCCAAAAACTACTTCGGTAGAGTAACTGGCCTCCAAAGACTACTGCTGACTTTTAGATCTTCTAGTGAAGTGAATAACTGGTACCAGATAACGCTACCACAGAGTGGCTGACTTTAGAAGGCGCTACTGTAGAATAGTTGGTCTCCCAATGGCCCCTGCCGTAGAGTATCTGGCCTCCAGAGGCTACTGCTGGCTTTCGGGACCACTAATGTAGAATAGCTGGTACCAGGTGGCGCTGCTATAGGATAGCTGATCTTATAGGGCTCTACTGTAGAGTATCTGGTCTGAGAGGCCTCTACTGTAGGGTAGCTGCCCTCAGAAGCCTCTACTGTAGAGTAAGTTGCCTCAGAGGACTCTACTGTAGAGTAGGTTGCCTCAGAGGATTCTGATGTAGAATAACCGGCCTTAGGTATCTGGTGTCAGAGAACTCCACCTAAGAGTAGATGGCTACATATGCGTCTTCTGTAGAGTAGCTGGCCCCAGATGCCAATGCTGCAGAGAATCTGTCTACCGCGACTTCTAATTCATCTCGAGTCAATGCTGTAAAATAGCTGGCCTCTAAGGCCTTTACTGTAGTGGCTCCAACTCTGGCCTCTAATGCCATCTATTTTACAGCAGTAGATGGACACCAAAGACCCTGTTGTAGAGAACATGGCCAAAAGTCACTGCTGTAGAGCTGCTGATTTTATATGGCACCACTGTTGGGTAGTTGGCTCCAAAGGGAACTACTGTGGAGTTGCAGGCCTCAAAGGGCGCAATTTAGGGACTACATATTAATAATTTTCTTTCCCACATTGCATTTTTCAGCTAGTTAGCCTCAGAGGGTAGCCGTTATAAGCGTAGAGAAATTGGTTTGAAAGAGAACTACTATTAACTACAAGGTCTCAAAGGGCGCCACTTTAGGAACAAATTTAAATTCTTAATTATTTTTCTTTCCCACATTGCATTTTTCAATTAACACAAATCTTCAAATTATTCTCTTCGGCTTTACAATTTAACTTTAATTAAAATCCTTGTGGATTTTCATTTCGATTGTCAGAAGCTATGAAAATCTGCTGCAATTTGAGAAATTGCCATGGGCCATTTTCAAATTAAATAGAATTAAAGGCGTTTAATAAAATAAACACAACTGAAAAATCCGATTCATTAGCAGAGTTTGGCTGTAAGCAACGAAGACTGGTCGAAGTCAAAAACTTCTCCATTCTTCGTCCTGCTAAGTTTAGGTAAGTTTTTAGCCCTTGCGAAACGGAAGACATCAATCAAAGTTGTGGTGTTGGCTGAAAGTGAAGCAAAGGAAAAACTGTAAAAATGCCTCAGACATACAAAAACCACTAGACAGCCGAACCTGACAAAAACAACAACAACAGCAGGACAATTGGACGTTGCTGCCGGTGGTGGTGGTGGTGTAAACGTTAAGAACTAACAAGATTACATAGTGTAGTAAAAGCTTTGGTGTAAAAGACAATTTACACAACTGACACTTACGCATGAGTGAATTAACAACGCAGGCAGAAATGAGGAAAATTCTTTGCCGGCCGAGTCCGCCCCTGCCAAGCTGAAGGAAACAACCTAACAACCAAGGAAGTGAGTGAAACACTTTGCTTTGAAATTACTTTCTTAGGCATGCCACAGAAGAAGAAGCTGAAGAATGAAAACTTAACAATTACCACAGACGACATTCGTCGTAACTTTGATATTCCATAAGGATATCACAACAATATGGCCTTGCTCGTTGTTAGCCTTATACGAAATGCTTCCTTGGTTGACTGCCACAGACATTCTATTTTTTGTTTTGCTATGGAAAACTCTTTTTGCAAAATGCCAGATTAACAGACATTTAACGCTTGAAATAACTAAGCCTATGCAATGGCGGTTTTATATTTCCAAGTAAATAGAGAATGTAACCGTTAGCCAAGGGGTTTAGTTAAAGTAATTCCTGGAATTACAAGCAAAAGCTGGAACAGTGGGTCGGAAGAGGAAAAAAATTGGAGTTGCTGGATTTAATAGTGTACAGGGACTTGGAGGGCATTACAATAATGTAGATGGTCTCAGAATACATTAGTAGAGAGTAGCTGGCCTCAGAGGAATCTTCTGTAGAGCAGTTGGCCTCAAAGGCCTCTATTGTAGATTAGCTGGATTTAGAGGTCTCTATAGAAGAGTTACTGGCCTCTAAGGCCTCTGCTGTACAGTAGGTAGCCTCAGAGGTATCTACTGTAAAGTTGTTGGCCTCAGAGCCCTCCACTTAGAGGTCGTAGATGGCCACAGAGGGTCGTAGCTATGTGGCAGCAGTAGAGAAGCTGGCTTCAGACGCCTCTACTGAATATAACTGGGCTCAGACGCATCTACTGAAGATAACTAGCCTCAGACGCCTATATTGAGAAGAAGCTGGCTTCAGAGGCCTCTATTGTAGAGCAGATGGCCTCTGAGGCCTCTACTGAAAAGTAGTTGCTCTGGAGCAACTAGCCACAGATACATCTACAGTAGAGCAACTGGCCACAGAGGTCGCTGCAGTGAAGCAGATGGCAACAGAGGCCCCCGTTGTTGAGTAGATTGCCACAGTAGTTTCTACAGTGGAGTGACTGGACTCAGAGACCTCTACTGTAGAGCAGCAGAACTCAGAGGCCTCTACTGTAAAGTATCAGGCCTCAGACGCCTCCATTGAAGAGTAGCTGACCACAGAGTTCGTAGCTGTAGGGCAGATGGTCTTAGAGGCCTCTACTGTAAACTAGCTGCTCTGGAGCAGCTGGACACAGAGGCCACTGCTGTTGAGTAGCTGGTCACAGAAGTAACTACAGTGAAGTAGCTGACCTCAGAGGCCTCTACTGTAAAGTATCAGGCCTCAAGAGGCCTCCATTGAAGAGTAGCTGGCCACAGAGGTCTTGGATGTAGACAAGATGGCCTTAGAGGCCTCTACTGTAAACTAGCTGCTCTAGAGCAGCTGGACACAGATGCCGTGGAGTAGCTGGACACAGAGGCCGTGGAGTAGCTGGACTCGGAGACCTCTACTGTAGCGTAGCTGAACTCAAAGGCCATTACCGAAGAGTAACAGGCCTCAGATGCCTCCATTACAGAGTATACCTCAAATGCAGAGTAGATACTCACAAAATATTGTAGTGTTGAGAAGATAGCCTCAAAGGCCTCTTCTGTAGAGTTACTGGGCTACAGAAGCCACTGTTGTTGAGTTGTTAGCCCTAGAGGCCACTGCTGTAGAGTGTCTGGCCTCAGAGACCTCTACTATAAAGAAGAGGTCATTGCTGTAAAGTAGATGACATCCAGAGGCCAATGATGTAAATTAACCGATCTCTAGATGTCACAAGGCCTTTGCTATAAACGAGTGGTCATCAGATGTCACTGCTGCAGAGTAGTTGACTTCAAGAGGTAGATAGAAGAGAAGAGTAGCTGATCTTCTTGGACCGCTGGAATAAAATTACTGACCTTGAAAGCCCACTGCTGTTGAGTAGCTGGCATTTAGAGGTCACTGCCGTAAAGTAGCTAATCTCCAGAGTTCGCTGCTGTATAGAATTTGACTGAGATGCCGCTGGTGATGAGTAGCTGGCCTGCTATGGAAAAGTAGCTTCAGAAGCCGTTACCGTAGAGAAGCAATCATTACAAACCAAAAACCGATGGTAGTGCTGTAGAGTTTCCGGCCTCAGAGACTTCTACCGTAGAGAATCTGATTTCCAGAGGTCATTTTTGTAAAGTACATGACATCCAGATGACATAAGTCGATCTCTGGAGGTCACTCAGGTAAAGTAAATGACCTTCAAAGCCCATTGCTATAAACTGGTTGTCCTCAGATGCCACATCCATAGAGTAGCTGATTTTCGGAGGCCGATTCTGTAGAGTAGCTGACTTCCGCTTCTATAAAATAACTGACCTTGAAAGCACACTGCTGTTGAGAAGCTGACGCTTAAAGGTCTCTACCTCAAAATAACTAACCTCCAGAGGTCACTGTTTTATAAAATCTGACATAGAGGCCACAGGTGATGAGTAGCTGGCTTGCTGAGGAGGAGTTGGCTTCAGAAGCCACCAAACAGATGACACTGCTTTATAACACTCAAGGATGGAATTTTTAAAGTTGATGACCTATGGAGTTATCACTACTTGATTGTAGATGGCGTCAGTACAACTTCTTTCAAGTAGGTGCTTTATACTTTTCGGATTTGTGGAACCCACAGTCCCTTGGCCACAAACAACCTTTGATAGGCTTAATTGAAAAATGTAATGAAAAACTTGCTTTTTTTCCTGCTTTGTTATGCCTCCAGCAATAACAACACAGCTAAAGAGCTTTGAACTTTGAACTGATGTCAAGCGAACAAGTAACCGCCGGTATGGCAATATCAGGTCATAGTGTAAAAATAAAACACTTCTATTTTTATTCTCAACAAACTCCTCCACACTCTTCCTTACTTACCTTCAGCCGTTTGCAAGCCAATAAGTTCCGAGTATTCACCCTCTCCGGCACTATTGAAAGCCTTGACACGGGCATTGTACATGGAGTTAAAGTGTAGGCCATCAACGGTGCAAATGGTCTCTTTGCCGCAGTAAACTTCCTGGAAAATCCAAAAATAACAACAAAAACAAGAAAGGCATTAGCACAAAAAGCCGACTACATTAGAATTTTCCAATAAATTAGAATAGCAACAAAAAATATACGTTTCAAGACATAAAGAAAACAATTTCTTAGAGTACAAGAAGTGTGAATAAACCAATAATGGAAGGAGGTGTTGGTGGTGGTGGGGAACAACGCCCACTTCCCCACCCTTCAGTACTTACCCTAAATTCTCCACCGCTGCCATCGTCCAGCTCCAAGACATAGCCCTCAACAAAGGAATGATTTGGTGCCTGCCACGCCACAGTAACGGAGTTATTTTCCGCTGAACAATCTTCGGGTATAATTGCAGGTGGTTGAGGAGCTGTTCCACAAAAATAGGTAGGGTGTTCAGAATGAGTGAATACATTTCACACAGTTACGAAAAAAAAACAGAAATCGGGAGAGAAAAAAAAACAACAACAACATTGTTAGCATAAATGCAAATTACTGTTTGGCTTAAAAGTAAAACCCACAAAGAAAAAGAAAAATAGGAATGGTATTTTTGTAGAGAAAACAAAAAATTGATAGGAAAGGAAATACTGTTAGTGTTACGGGGAAATGGACAAGGGAGAGTATATGTGTATGTGTGTTTGTTAGTGTTAAGGAGAGTATAGGACAAGAAAGTGTGTGAGAGAGAGCGCGCGAGACAGATAGAGCAAAAGCATGAGTGGAATAGAGCCAATAGAACGACTACCATGATTTCTAACTTTAATTATTATGACTTGGGGCTATAATAAACCATAAATTATAATTGTTGTGGCACGTCTTTGGTTTTTTGGGAGGTAGGGGAAAGGATGTTTGTTTTATTCCCTGATAACCAAAAACCAAATAATAAACACAACCAAAAATAGAAGACCAAAGAAAAACTGAAACTTAAGATTCCGGAAATTATAAGAAACTCAAGCTTGCCAATGGCCACAACACAAAAAGACATTGGCCCACAGGACATAATGGTAACATAAAAAATATTACTTTACGAAGGAGAAGTAAAGGAGACGGAGAGAGTGTCGACGAAAGTAAATGTAGAAAACCGGAAAGGTGTAGCAACACTGGCCGTTTTGGCAAATATTTTTCTTTGCCACTTTCGAGCCCAACTCAAATTAGTTATTAGGTGTAAATGTCATAAACAACACAGCACGTAAATAATTGCGGGTAATTTAAATGAAGTTAAGAAAAATAATAATAGTAGGGGAGTAAAAAACGAGAAAAGGTAATTAATGTTTTGGAATGTTTCTACTTTTTTTGAGGACTAGCAAATCCTTGACAGGGTATTTATAACATTAAAACTTTGCTATACCTTAAAATTTTGAAAATAATTTTCTAGGGCGAAAATCATACATTCCAACCCATATTTGTATGAGGAATTCAATATATAATCACGAACCTCGTAGAATATAATTTTCTAAGGGTGATTGATTTAAAATCGTGAATTTTTCAGAATATTTATTTGAGGGACTACAGAACGATAACCGTGAACTTTTGAAGAGTTATTCCAAGTACATTTTCAAGTTATATATTTTAGGGAATTCCACGACATCAAGACCTACAATATTAGGTTATAGACATATTTTAATGTGGTCTAAATTAGCTAATATCCAAAATTTCTTACAAACTTTTTAAGGGACCAATAGGGCTTAAACTTGAAGTTTTACATAAAGTTTTTGCAAAGGCTATCAGAACTGTACAAATTTATAAGTTGCACGTATTTTTAAGGAAACAGAGATTTTTGAAAAATTTATTTATAAGGAGATCGGAGCTATAATCGATATGCAACAGAAAACCTGAAGTAAAATCTTGGATATTTTAAATAGATGTTTTCAAGGACTTGTCAAACCCCAGGTGTTCAATGAAATATAAATTTTTACAATATTTTTTCACGGAACATCTGAGCTATATGAGAAGAATATTTTTTCAAGGACATTCCGACCTAAAAACGATGATTGTTTAAATTATATTTTTTAAGTGCCAAAAGAGCTATCAATGTGGGTTTTTTAAGAATATTTTTTCAAGGGCCAATCGAACCATGAACTTTTATTTTCGAATAGTTGTTTTGTGAGGAATGTCAGAGTTATCCAAGTGGAATTTTTATTAACATTTTTTCAAGGGCTGACGTGGATTTATTATTAATATTTTTCTAAGGATCAGCGCGGATTTTAGCTATGTTTCAAGGATCAACGTGGATTTCAGCTATGTTTCAAAGATCAATGAGGATTTTTAAAAAATATTTTTTCAAGGATCAATGAGGATTTTTAAAAAATATTTTTTCAAGGATCAATGAGGATTTTTAAAAAATATTTTTCATGGATCAAAAACCTCTCTGAAATTTTTAAAAATATGTTTCAAGGGTTTTTTATCAATATTTTTCTAAGGATGAATGTAGAATTTTTATGGCTATGTTTCAAGGACCAATAAGGATTTAAAAAAATTTTTTTCAAGGACCTATTTGGAGTTCTTAAAAATATTTTTTCAAAGAACGATCCCGGCCTTTAAAGTACATTTTTTGAAATATATTTTGTAAAGATCTATGACCATGGATCTTTTAAAATAAAAAAAAAAAATAAATAAAAAGAAAAACCTATGCAGAAATTATTAAGGACCAAGATATTTGAAAAACGTTTTTTCAACGAAAAATATGTTTTTAAGGATAAATGGATCTATGAACGTAGATTTTTGGATTTTTGAAGGGCAAAAAGATTATATATACACGTAATTTGTTTAAATATCTGTTCAAGAGACCTACAAAATTTTTTCACGGACAAAACAATTCATGATCCTGGATATTTTGAACAATACTTTTTCAAAGACCAATCAAGGATTGAACAAGGATATTTATTTTGGAAAATATGTTTCCATGAAATTCCAATGTGAATTTTTGGTAAACATTTGAATAAATGTTGATTTTTTGGAAAGATGTTGAATGACCGAGTGAGCTAAACGAATTTTAAGAATATTTTTTAAAGACCAGAAGACTTGTGTAATTTCTTTATTTTAAAAATAATTCATTAGAGTGAATTTTATGACAAATATAATATATAATATAACGACCAAACAGAGTGGATTTGTTTGAAAAAAAAATTTTTAAGGACCAAACATTGCAGAAACCCGATTTTTTTTCTTTAAACTAATCGATTTTCAAAACCTCTTTGCGAGGATTTTTGAAAAATATTTTTCAAGGACCAAAGGATTTTTTTAATATTTTTAAGGACCTATGTTTGTGGTTTCTTTTGAAAACTACTTAAAGGACCTATAATTTAAAAAAAAAAGATTCTTCATGGACCTATGAGGGGGGATTTTTTGAAAAACTGTTTTTTTTTTAATTGTAGACATTAAGGATATTTCTGCCTACACAGCAATTAACTCGATTTTTATAGACTTGAAGTTATTTTTTAGGAACTATCTGAGCTGCAATCTGGTTATTATTGGGGCATTTGTAAATATGTCTTTCAGGGACTATATGAACTACAATCTAAGCTTTCAAAAATTATTTTTCAAGACATTATTCAAGCATTTTAGGCTAAATCTCAGATTTTTAAAATAAAGTCTTGTTAAATATGACCTGCGCAGAAAAGGCGCACTTTAAAAAAAAATATTTTATGAAAACGGACCACAATGCTGGTCTTCTTTAAATATAAAGCATTGAGTAGGAGATTTATGGATAGAAGACGTTTAAATGGCTTTCTATAGCTATAATATTGTTAACAGGTCATTTAGGGATAGAGTAGCCTACTAAGGATTTCGGTTATTATTTTTTTTAATCAGTTCTCAGTTATTTGAAGTAGAACTTAAAAAAGCTATCTATATTGAATATAGTCACAAATGAAAAGTAGAGAACCAAAACCGTAATGAGAAGAAGAGAAAATGAGAAAGTGGTATGTATGAATGTACGTGTTTTTAGTGACAGTGAATTTTTAGTGAAAATGAAGTTTAACACAAAATACGGATGAAAACTTAGAAATAATATATATAAAAAATAGAAAAAAAATTTTGAATAAAATTTAAAAATTATTTTAAAATTAATAAGAAGAAAAACAAAATCATACATACGAATACAACAAGTAGAGGATAATGGCAAATTGGTATGCGTACATGATATCGTTTCATCGTAGTTGATCAATTTTCTAAAGGCATTCATTTTCAGGGATAATGTTGTTGAGGAGGAAGATGATGATGATGATTTATTGGATTTGGTGGAACGTAATGTTGAGGTCTTATTGCAATCATTGATTGCCATAGCCGTCATCAGGTTGGTTATGGTGGAATTAGTGGTGGCTGTGGTGGTGTGGTTGTTGCAATTTATATTGTTGGTGTTGTTTGTGGTGTTGTCTAACAATGAGGCATTGATGACAGTATTTGTGGACAGTATGGATGTGGTAAATGATGATGTATTGCTGATATAGTGTTCATCAAGCATCTCACCTGCTGGCAGCCTTTCATCTCCATCTTTGGCAGCTATTAATGATACACACGCACACACACAAAAACACAAGCATAATTTTGGGCGTTTTTTTTTGGCATTACATAAAAAAACGGGAGATACAATCAAATTTCAAATGATGATTTGAATACAATTTTGGGCGTAATTTGATTTCATTTAGCAATTAAAAGCATTTTGTAAAGCAGCATGTATGAGTATATGAGAAAAAAAGAGAGAGAGACAAGATTATGGTAATTATGATTAATTTGCGGAATACAATTTTTTGGATGGTTATATAATACAAATGTCTTAAATGTATTAAAAATAAATGAAGAAAATTATTAAATTTTCCATTGTGTGTACCACTTCCGGAAATTTATATCCCTCCTTGTTATGAAAAGTTAATCTTGTGTTCTTAAAAATTTCAATAGCTAGCATTGAACTATGTGAGGTTAGGTTTCAAGCAGCCGCACCCCATTTATTATTAGTTTTTAAGCAATTTTCTTAGGGTTCAATTAGTTTGGAAATTCCTGGCTGCAAAGGTTTTAGTGAGATTTTTATGTGAATTATGCTATGCTTTCATTGCTGCATTCAAAACCTGGGAAATTTGGAAAAAATCTTTTTTCGGAACTTACGTTTCATTTGTATGAAATTCAAATTATCAATTGATCTCAAAACCGCAGCATCATCCAGCGTCAAGTCTACAATGGGGGATACTCTTGGTGCAGCATTGGTAACTTCTTGGTGCCAGGTCATGTCGGTGTTGGCAACACGATTTATTAGCATTGAACCAACCTGGAATGAGAAGAAATAAAAAAATAAATAAATATTATTAAAAATCGTATTTATTGGGGTAGTTCGAAGATTTATAACCTATACTATCACGGAATTTCATATTCTTAAAATCCCTCGACAACATTTTATACCATAAAAATAGGAAAACAAGTAAAAAAGCAGCTAAGTTCGACCGGGTCGAACTTTTTATACCCTCCACAATTTGGAAGGAACCTGCAAATTAAAAAAAAAAACACTTAATGGAAAACAGTTGCATTGGGACCATACGATGACGTGGACCTGCTTAGAATTTTTTTGTCATATGCTGTAGTAGCCATTACGAACTTCAAATACGAAATTTGAAACAGTTCAAGTGAATAATGTCGATAAAATCATTAAAATATCGAATATCGGGCGGTATTGTTAAAAGGGGGGGGGGGAGTATAGTAAAACGTGAACTTGCATAGGAAATTATTTTCATAGGTTGTAGTACCCATTACGGACTTTAAATACGAAATGTGTTACAATTCCGGAGAATAAAGTGGCTAGAATCATGAAAATGCCGAGTATCGGGAGGTACCGTCATATGGGGGCTATACGAAGACGTGGACCTGCATACAAGAATTTTTGTCATAGTACCCATTACGAACTTTAAACATGAAATTTGAAATGATTCCGGTAAATAATGTCGCCAAAATCATGAAAATACCGAATATCGGGAGGTACCGTTGTATGGAGGCTATACGTAAACGTGGATCGACATGGCCCATTTACGAAATTAACCTGCCTACTGGTAAAATATGCATGTATGCAAAATTTTAGCCTTCTATCTCAATTCGTTCGAAAGACAGCGTGATTACAACAGACAGACGGTCATCGCTAGATCGTCTTAGAATTTAACGCTGATCCAGAATATATATATATATATATACGTTGTGGGGTCTATTATGAATATTTCGAGGAGTTCAAATGGAATGACAAAGCTGATATACCCTCCATACAGAGTGAGATGAAAAAACTGCAACAAACTTCAGACTGTTGTCATTTCTAAGCCACTTTTCCGACAGCTTTTAAAATTATTCCAGTAACAGCTCATTATATTGTTTACAAGCGTACAAGAGCATTTTGGTGAGAATTTTCAAGAAAAAAAATTATTCGTGATGGAATTCAAGCGTGATAGTGTGACTTCTTTGTATTTGGCAGGAAAACCACAAGTGGCTATCGTTAGAGCACTTCAGCATTTAAATGTGAATAAATCTTTTGCGTCTCGTACCATCGCTCGTTATCGTGATACTGGTAGCGTAGCCCGACGTCAAGGAAGTGGACGGAATAAAACAGCAACATCAGCAGAAATGGTTCGAAAAGTGGAAAAGCGACTTGATCGAAATCCACGTCGCAGTGGCCGAAAAATGGATCGCGGGCTGAACTTATGGCAATATTCGATTCGGCAAATATTGAAAAATGAGCTCGGGTTAAAGCCATTGAAATTCCAAAAAGTGCAAGAACTTACACCGCAACAGAAAGAAAATAGACTCAAAAGAGCTAAAGAGTTGCTTTGCTTGACCGAAAGTAGTGAACTGCCGAATTTCGTTTTCTCCGATGAGAAAACTTTCGTTGTCCAGCAGTTTGTTTTAAGAGGTCTGCTGAAAATGTACACCTTCGCTTGGACACCAGAACTCAAGCCCCGGCCATGGTGATTGTGTGGGCCGCCATAACAGCCGAGGGTCGCTCTTCACTCATATTAATCGACCGGCATCAGAAAAACAGGACTCAGCACCATCGCACTCAGCACGCGCCACCCAAGAATGGTTACAAAATGAGGTTCCTCGCTTTTTTTTTCAGCTCACAATGGCCACCAAAATCTCTGGATACCAATCCATTGGACTATTGTGTCTGGAGTATTTTGGAAAGCAAGGTTGGCACTGACAAATACCAAAGTGTCGATCACCTGAAGCAAGCGCTTCGCCGGGAATGAACCAAAATACCGCAGAGCAACATTCAAGCAGCGTGTGATGGTTTCATTGCCCGTTTGAAGGCCATAATTCATGACAAAGGTGACCAATTCGAACAAATCTAAATCTAAATCTAAACGTATTTTGAAAATTTGATGCTATTTCCGACATTTGTTGCTTTCATTCAATAAAATTTAAAAAAAAAATGTAAAAATTATGGCGTTTGGCTTTGTTGCAGTTTTTATCCCCTATCTGCCCCTTGGTGGGTGTAGTATCAGAAGGGGTTCGCAGATATATATCATCTCCACAACAGATCATGTGTTAGAAAAAATGTCGGTATGTGTGATATCTGAAAAGATATTGGATGCTTATTTCGTGTTTTATGAGCATTTTCTAATTCAAAATTTGGAATCCTTTTGTGGGGAAGGTACCAGAAGGAGTGGACGGATACGTACCATCTTCACAGCAGATCTTGTGTTAATAGAAATAATGGGACGTGTGAAATATGAAGAGAATCATATTCTTATTTTGGATTTTATAATCGCTTCTGTTATTCAACTTTTTGAGCCTTTGTGGGGAAGGTACAGGAGGAATGGTTCGATTTCTACAGTCTTTACAACAGATCTTGTGTTGATAGAAATTTTGAATTGTTCCGAGTCTAAGTGTAAACGGATATTATTTCGTGTTTTATGAGCTTCATGGATATCCAGCAAAGTTTAAAAAATAATTGCCAAATAATTGATGTGTCGTCCCAAGTTTGTTTCAGGACCTTCAGTTATATATAATTTAATATTTTTGAAAAAATGAATTGCTATTTTTCATAGCATTTTTTTAAATTGATCGGGATTTTCACACAGGGAATTATTTCACCTACAACACTTAAAATAGAAACCAAAACTCGTAAAACTTACCTGCAAGAATGCAGCACTATCAGTCTCTTTTAAGGCCTCAATGCAGAATTGGATAAGCCCTGTGGTCTGTTGCAGTTTACCGGTGCAATTTGATTGTTGATCCTAAAATTTAATAAAAAATAATAATTTAATAATTTATTATTTTGTCAAATTAAATTCTATTTCATTTTTTTATCAAAATTTTATTTTAATTATCTCTTTACCTTTAATATTCTTATTTTCGTCTCCTTATCCATGCGTATGGCCTCTAATAAATATTCACGGCGATCATGTATGGCTTGGATGAGGGCCTCACATTGGGCAGTGACCAGTCTTTCGAATTCTATGCAGGATTCCTGAAAACATACAATTAAATAAATATTAAAAAATTCCATTAAAATTAAATGCAGAAAAAAATTAAATGAAAATGCATTGCATTTTTCTCCCATGGAAAGAGAAACGTCCGGCAAAGGACATCAAAGGCAAACAGAAAGACTGCTTTAACAAATTAAATATAATTTCACATAGAAGTCACAAAGAACAAAACTAAAAAACTACAAGTGGTAGTAAGGAAAAAGGACTTGAAGAAAATTGCAAGGAAATATAAACCAGACGCCTTTACTTCCACTTCCTTGGCCGAAGTTGACTTGCAAGTTTCTTTTTTTTTTCTTTTATTGTGATTTTTCTTTGCCCAGGTAGAAAAAGGAAAAATACCTGTACCGCTCTCCCTTTGTCTTCATTTAAACTATAAAAAGTTCATAAACATTAAGTGTAATTTGTCTGGACCCAAAGAGCGGTTCGCCGGCTCGTTGCAGCGCAGGAGAAAATTCAAAAACAAATGTATAGTGGGATTTTAAGATTTCTTACAAACAATTTATGTTGTTTGTTCTTTTCGTCGTCGTTGTTGTTGTTATTTTTGCATTATTATACTTGTTGTTTGTACTTAACGTTCTTTGACTAATTTCTGGGATTTGCTGGATTGTTTTTTGAAGGTGGGAGGTTTTAATTCTTTTTGCATTGCATGGAGGGTGGAAAAGGTACTGTGGACTGCTAAACTATTCAGTACTCTATTTCAAATTAATTATTATTAATTTTATATTAACTTTTCTATAGAAGGGGTCGCATTATATTCTATAGCTGAAGTAAAAACTCTACATTTTGAGTCAGACTTGTTGCGTAGGCTATCACATGCCTCTGCGTTTTGGAAATCCGTAATAAAGGGGACGAAAAGCACTTAAATTTGAACACTTTGTACTGAATTGTGAAATTTAGAATTCGAGTCACTGATGGAGTGGAGGATAGATGTAACAAAGAGTATTTGGAAATATGAACTTTAAAAATTTCAATACTTTGCATTGAATTATGAAATTTAGAATGAGACTCACTGATGAAGTGATAGATGTACCAAAGGATATTTGGAAATTCGAACTTTAAGGTTACCAAAAGTTCTAAAATGTTACGGATAGACCTACAACCTTCATTTTTGGTATGAGAATAAAGGTTGGAAGGTTAATTTGATATATGAAGGTGGTTTTGGGAAAGTGTACTAAGTGTGTGAACAGTACCAAATGGTACAAAATTCTGAACAATTTGGTTTATGAAGCTGAAATTTTGTATAGGGGATCCCTGTTATTGGTAGGTTTATCATAAAGAGAAGGTTTTGGAAATGTGTACTATTAGTGTCCAAAAAGTACTAAATCGTACCATATGTGGTACAATTTGGTATTGGGTGAAGGGATAGGGCTTGAAATCTGAAATTTGCTATTAAAATCGAGGTTACTGTTTAGCCTGAACATATGGAGATGGTTTCGGAAATGTGTACTAAAATTGTACGAAAAGTTCTAAATCGTATGTGTTACAATTTGGTATGGGGGAAAAGGGGTAGGGTTGGAAATCAGAAATTTGCTATTAAAATCGGGGTTAGTGTTTAGCCTGAACATATGGAGATGGTTTCGAAAATGTATACTATAATTGTACGAAAAGTACCAAATCGTACCATATTTGGTACAAGATGGTATTGGGTGAAGGGATAGGGCTTGAAATCTGAAATTTGCTATTAAATCGAAGTTAAAATATAGCCTGTACATATGAAGGTGGTGTCGGAAATGTGAACTATAATTTTACGAAAAATACTCAATCGTACCGAAAGTACTTATTAGAAAAGTACTTATTAGTACTAAATTTGGTATTGGGTGATGGGATAGAGCTGGAATTCTGAAATTTGATATGTATGTCACTGATTTGATAGAGATAAAATTCTGAAATATGATATTTAGATAGCTGTTGGTATCAGAGGTTGAGATTTGAAGATAGGTTTGGAATTGCGTACTATAGTTGTTCGAAAAGTACTAAATTGAACCAATTTAAGCATTGGTTAAAGGGATGGGGCTGAAACCGTGAAGATTTACATTGCGATAACCGTTGATGTCTTAAATTAAACGAAAAGTACTAATTGTTACTAAATCGGGTATTGGGTCAAGAGATAGAGCTGGAATCTGGAAATTTGATATTGAGGTCCCTGTTGGTAACTGGAATTGAGATTTGGAGGTGGTATTGCAAATCGGTCTATAATTGTACGAAAAGTAGTAAATATTACTAATTTTGGATCTCTGTGGGTGTCAAAGGCGGAGAGATGTAGATTGTTTGGGATATGCGTACTAAAAGTTAATAAATTTGGTATTGGGTGAAGAGATAGAACTGAAATTCGGAAATTTTATATTAAGGCTGCTTTTGGCTTCTGGGGTTTGCGATTTTTATACATGCATTTATCTGTAACATGGAGAAGGAAGCGAGGAGTATCTTCATAGAATTACATTCTGAGTCCATTTATGCATGTCAGTCTGTCTGTCCGTCCGTCTTTCCGAGTATTTTTGTAAACAAAATGCAGGTCGCATTTATTATCCGATTGAGATGAAATTTTCCAACTAATATTTTTTTTTTGGCCCAAGGACAAACCCTTCTGAAATTGGTGAGAATCGATTTAAATTTTGATATAGCCCCCATATATATCTTCAACCGATTTCGGGTTAATTGTGCACCAAATGGTCAATATTAGTCCAAATGACATGTATTTGGGCACATCCGATCGAATTCAGTTTAGAAGTAAGTACATCAAATTTGGTGAAAATCGGTTCAGATGTAGCGATTTGGTGTTGAAGTCCCTCACGTGCGTAATATGCACTCCACAAGACTAATATTTGGTACCAGATATAAGATACAGCCCAGAAATGCCTTTGTCAAAATCTATCGAGATCGGATCAGATTTGGATATAGCACCCATATATTTCTATATCACATATCAAGTTTATTGTGCACCAAATGGCTAATTTTAGTCCGAATAGACTGAATTTTCGCAACTCCGACTGAATTCATCCTAGAAATAAGTGCATTAAATTCGGTTAAGATATACCTATAACTCCAATATTTATGTTTCATCCGATTTGGTCCTTTACATGCGTTATATGCATTCAACAACAATAATATTTGATACCGGACATCATATACAGCTCGAAAATACCTGTGCGAAAGTTTATCCAGATCGGTTCAGATTTTAGTTACTTTCGATATACATCTTGATCCAATTTTACGATTATTATTCACCATATATGTAATATCAGCCCAAATATAATCTACTTCGCATAAATTCCCAATATTAACTTTTTTGTTACGAGAGCTCTACTAAATAAACATAACTGTGTAGGGTATCATATAGTCGACTTTTGACCTTTCCTTACTAGTTTTTTTTTTTTTTCAATAAAAGGATATGGTTTGGAGCTCAGTGAGTGAGTTTTGATTTATTTTTATATTAAAACATGCTGATTCTCATTTTTTTTTTTTTTTGAAGAACTGCTATTTTTTTTCTTTGACCTCAGTAAAGGTTTGCAATTAATTTATATAAAAAAGGGCTTTTCCTAGAAAAAAATCGGAATATTTAATTTTTTTTCTATAAATAATATTCCGCTTTCTTCATAATTATAAAAGTACACCGTAGTTCTCCAGTGTCCACATATGAACAGAATTTTTTTTAGCGGTTTTCATATGACCACCACTGTTCCGTATTTTTCTTCTTCCCAACTCAATAACAAAAACCCGAGTGAAAATGTGGACGGAAAGAAATATCCTTTAGAAAAACTCCATGTAAATATCTTTGAAAAATTACATCTGCTTTATAATGGGATTTTCAATGGCCAACAATCCTTCTGTTCCGCTGTTTTTTCGTTTTTTTTTTTCTCTTTTGCATGCCTACCCAACTTCATTCGCACAGTCAACATTTACTTAATTAAGATATTAAGTTTTGTAAAACTTTATTATTTTAAGCTTAACCAAAATACAAAAAAATATATATATATATATTTAAGTCTGTTTTCATTGCTATGCCTTGGGGAGAGAGCAAACAAAAAAGAAATGCAAAAAAGGAATATAATATTCAACATTTGCCTTGGGTTCGTTTCTGCCACAGAAAAGCGGGAAAGAGGGAAGACAACGCATGCCTGCCTCTGAAGTATTAAATCTTTTTTTTTCTGCCCAGTTTAGCCTGAGGGGGCTTTCATTTTCTTTGACTTTTGAGAAGCGATTTTTTTTTGCCTTCCTTACTTTATGACAACTCCAGCAACAATTTTTGGTTGCTGGTCGCCGGGGCGAAAAAAAAAAAACAAAATATATTTTTATGTGCTAAAAAGTGTGTGAAGAAAAAATTACAAAAAAAAATATTTTTTTTTGACTTACCGTTACTTTGTCACTCATTCCTTTTAGCCGCTGTATAAACTCTGTTGTGGAGCGTGCCTTTTCTGACAATTGTTGCAGATTGTGTGAAAGTTCCGTCTGTAAAAGAAGATAAGAAAAGAACCATGAAAAAAAAAAGAAGTGCGACATTAGTGACAAATTACATACCGGAGCAGAGAAAGAGAACAGAAATATGTAAAGAAAGTTTTTGAAATTGTCAGACACACACACATACAAATACATACACAGCAAAAACCAAATCATATAAGGTTTTTTTGTTGCCCTTCCTGATTCCGTAGCGAAAAGAGAAAAAAACGGTCCAGGAACAGATAATGGTTCACAGTATTTTTATGAAGTGTAAAAATAGCGTATAAATGGATATTAAACGAACAACAATAACAGCAACAACAAAAAGCCAGTAAAAAAAGGCAACAACATTTGCATGGCATTTGGGGTAAAAGATGTTCTGGGGCTCCTGGTGCGCTGTGAATCATGGACGAACAGGCCAGCAGCGGTATGGTGTCTTAGTAACATCATCATCGTCATTCTCAGCATCAGCATGATTCGCAATGTCCCCATGAACATTTGTTTAACCACAGCAAGTTCAGTGTTATTATCATCATCACATTTGTTATAACCAAATATCCTGGGTTTTCCATTTACATACACAAACATAAAAACCTACCTACATACAATCATATAGCGCCCCATTCATTGCGGCCATGATACAGCAAGAGAGATAAAAGAGCGAGCGGATATCAAAAATCGAGCTGTGTGTCCCCCCGCAAAAAAAACTTTTGCGGCCAAATATAACGGAAATAAAATGTTGATGAATGAGGAGAATGGCGCAAAAAATTTGTTTTATGCCCGCAAACTATAAAAATATAATCGAAATTATACAAATAAAAGGAGAAATATTAAAGCAAAATAAAAAAAATGTCATCTATAATAAATGACAGGAGGCCCATGATACTGCCACCGGTACTTCGACAATTGGGAGATATAAATGGAAAATCCATTATGTTTTTAAAAATTTAATATTATTTTATGGAGTTTAAAATTGTAATGAAATAAGAGGGCATGATGGGAGTTAAATGAATTTAATAAATATGTATGGAATCAATTTTAGATGGTCCATTAAATGTCTTTATGGAAATCAATTACTTAGAATAATTTTTTTAATATACTATTACAATCTTAATGACTTCGAACGAATTATTAAATAAAAAAATGCACAAATTATTCTGTAACAATCCTCAGCTCAGATATTACTTAAAATATTATTTTAGAAAAAATCACGAAAATTATTAAAGAATTTAAAAATCGAATCACATATTCTCAATATATATTCAGGAACCCACGCCTCGTGGCCCTGTGTGGAATATCTCGCAAAACGACAATAACTGAAAAAGTCCACAATTATAGATCGGCATGACCTTGTAAAAATATTATATCACAATTAGCTTAACTAATTTAATAATCTATGATTACTGTAGTCAAAAAAGAAAAAAATAATAATAATACTAATTATAGCTATATACCCCTTCCTAGACATTTTAAAAAGCCCAAGATTAGAAATCCATTTCCCATCAAACATATAACTGGAAAGTTTTTAACTAATTTTTTTATGGACTATTGGTTCTATTATCACGGATCTTTAAAGAATTATTCTGGTGGTATTTTGAATTTATAGTCTTTTAAAAAATTTTCGATGGATTTTGTTGCTGTAATATTATATCCTTTTCCAAAGAATTATTCTCGAGGACTTTTGAAGCTATAACTGTGGATTTTTAAATATTTTTTCGAGGACTATCAGAGGAGATTTTTAAAGAATTTTTCTTGTGGTCTTTTGAAGTTGTAATTGTGAATTTTTAATGAATTATTTCTAGAACTAATGGTCCTATGGTCGTTATAGTCGTGGTCTCATAAGGATTTTTCTCGAAGTTTTTTGGAGCTACAATCGTGGATTTTTAAAAATCATTTCGAGGACTATCAGAGCAATAATAGTCGATCTTTTAAAGAATTATTCTCGAAGTCTTTCGGAGTTATATACGTGGTTTAATAAAAACAAATTCTCGATATCCTTTTGAGCTTTAATCATGGATTTCTCAACCATTATTTTGAGGACTATCAGGCATAAAATCATGGAATTTTCCAAAAATTACTTCAAGGACTAATGCATCCAAATTCGTGCTTTTTCAAGTACTAAAGGCTATCAGACCCATAATCCTGGATTATTTGAACATAATCCTGGATATTATTTGGAGGACCATCATACCTATTATAGTGCATCTTTAGAGAATTATTTAGAGGACTGTCAGTCAGTCTTTGTAAAAAATATTAACTAAATTTTGAACAAAGCCAAACGCCATAAATTTTCATTTTTTTTTAATTTTATTGAAAAAAAGCAAAAAAAAAAATGTCGGAAATAGCATCAAATGTTAGAATAGGCTTAAGCTCGTTCGAATTGGTCACCTTTGGCACGAATTATGGCCTTCAAACTGCCAATGAAACGTCACACGCTGCCCGAATGTTGCTCTGCGGTATTTTGGCCCATTTCCGGCGAAGCGCTTGCTTGAGGTGATCGAAACTTTAGTATTTTTTAGTGCCAATCTTGCTTTCCCCAAATACTCCAGCCACAATAGTCCAACGGATTGGTATTCGGAGATTTTGGTGGCCATTGTGCACTGGAAATGAAGCGAGGAACCTCATTTTGTAACCATTCTTGGGTGGCGCGTGCTCAGTGCGATGGTGCTGAGTCCTGTTGGAATGTCCAAGGCCTGCGGCCAAAAGGTTGCGTGTCCAAGGCTTCAATACATCCTCCAGAATACTTTCGCGATAATATTAAGTATTTATTCTGATACAACGGTCGATTAATACACGCGGAGTGCGACCATCGGCTGTTATGGCGGCCCACACCATCACCATGGCCGGCGCTTATATTTTGGTGGCCAACCGAAGGTGCACATTTTCAGCTGACATCTTTGGCAAGTAAACACGATCATTTTGTTTGTTTACAAACTGCTGAACAACGAATATTTTCTCATCGGAGAAAACTAAATTAGGCAGCTCACCCCTTTCGGCCAAGCGAAGTGACTCATTAGCTCTTTTGAGTCTACGTTCTTTCTATTGCGGTGTAAGTTCTTGCACTTTTTTAAATTTCAATGGCTTTATCCCGAGCTCATTTTTAATTATTTGCCGAATGGAATATTGCAATATTTCAGCTCACGAGCCATTTTTCGGCCACTGCGACGCGGGTTTCGATCAAGTCGCTTCTTTACTTTTCGAACCATTTCTGCAGATGTTTCCGTTTTCTTCCGTCCACTTTTTTTGACGTCGAGCTACGCTACCAGTATCACGGTAACGAGCGATGGTACGAGACACAAAAGATTTATTCACATTTAAGTGCTGGAGTGCTCTAACGATAGCCACTTGTGGTTTGCCAGCCAAATATAAAGAAATCGCACTATCACGCTTGTATTCCATCAGGAATAACTCTTTTTTTGGAAAATTCTCACCAAAATACTTTTGTACGCATGTAAACAATATAATGAACTGTCACTGGAATAATTTTAACAGCTGTCGGACGAGTGGCTTAGAAATGACGGCAGCCTGAAGTTGGTTGCAGGTTTTTCATCTAACAAACAATCTTGAAAAAATTCACTTATTTTAAAGCCCTTGATAATGTTTTCCAAAACAATGCACAAAAATGAACGCCCTAGTGTGTTAGTAGTCCTTGAAATATTTATTCTTAAAATACCACATAGCTGATGTCCTTAATAATATGCATTTAAATAATATAGTCCTTATATCTATAATAAAAATAATAATATAAAAAATAAAACAAGCAAGCCAAAGGTTGATTTTATAAAAACAACAATAAAGAGATTAAGTCTGACCATTTTGCAACAATATATTAAAAAAAAATTAGTTTTGCCTTATCTTTTAAAAAATATTTTTTTGAAAATTCCAGTTTCGGAAAACACTTGAAAAAATAATGTATAAAAGACAAACGTTTCTGATAATTCTTAAATAAAAATGTAATTTAAAATATCCACGTTTTTAGGAACATTTAGTTCTTGGCAAAAATAATTACAAAATTAAATGATCATGGTCTGTTGGATCTTAAAACAAATTTAGAAAAATATAAATTATTTCAAAACTTTGCAATTATCCTTAATTTCTTTTAAATCAATAATTGTGGCCCTTCAGGAAAGAATCCACGAATATAGCAGAGTAAGTCTGGTTATGCTGTAATTAAAAATCTACGACTTTACCTCCCTTTATCCTTGAAATAAAGTATTCGCAACCCTTTCAAATTGCACCCCTCCCATAATGTATCTTGTTCATTAATAAGGCTTTTGAAGTCAACCGCTTTAAAAATGGAACACAAAAAAAATTCCCATTAATCCCTTAAACTTCTTGCGGTTTCGTACATTAATTTTCTTTGCTTTCTGGTACAAACTTGTTAAAGAAACGAAAAAAAATTCTAGAGAATTTTTCTTGCCATCGTGTGCTTAATTTAACTTTACAATTAAGAAATTAACTCCAGAGGGGAGTTTGCAGCAGATTTAGCAACTGTGACATCAGCAACTTCTATAAATTAATTTCATTCATTTTGTGTCTGTTGCCGTTTTTATTATTGTTGTCATTCAACGATATCTGCATCTAAGAGGGCATATTTCAACAACAAGTCGTTTGTCTTGGAAGACAGCAGTCCTGGTTGATGTCACAGCAACAGCAGAAGCGGCAACAACAACATCATCAGCAGCAGCATTAAAACTTCCTTTTCGTTGCATCTCAGGAATGGCGTAGTAAAATTATAGCATCATTATAAACAATGACAATATCTCTTCATCTCTCGCTCTCTCTCTCTCTCTGTCATTCTCGGTATGCTGTTGGCAGCCGGTTAGAGGAAGAGTAAAATAGTTTACTAACTGAAATTAAAACAATATGTTGCCATAAGTAAACTTTTAGTTGTTGCAGTTATTGTAAAATATTGTTGTTGTTGTTGCTGCTGCTGTTGTACGTCTTATTATTGCCAAGATAACGCTCGGAAGCAACATTGCCTTTATTATGGTCTTGAACTGAAGTCAAAG